ATACGAAAAACTTAAAGTTTAAGCTGCTAAATTCTTGTTTATCTGTTTATTTATTCTTATTTTTTCATCTATGCACTGCATACAAGAAACTATCTTTTTTTGTATTTCTATATCTGGACATTCAACCTCTAATATCCTTATAGTTTTCATTGGTATAGTAGGCTGTCCACTTCCTGTTACATAATTTGACATTAATTGCCTAAATGATTCATTTCTAATAACTAGATACAAATAATATGGAATAACCTTAGTAGTATCCGGTGTAATTTTACAAATATTGGGTGCCAAATGATATTTATCATTTTCCTCAATCAAAGCACAGTCGCCATATCCGTTTCCAGTGTATGTTAATAAGATATCCCCTTTGTATAACCTACTTCTTACAAGATTATCAGATACATTCCTATCAATTCTTTTGATATCAGATAAATCAAGTTGTCCGTTTCGAAGGTTAAGCGCTCTTAATGCAATAATTTCACCAGTATCGTTATACTTAATGTATTTCGTAAACTCAAAACCTGCTAGTTTTGTAATATCTGCAATTTCACCAAGTTTTACCTTAGCCATATTTTTCTCCTTATCCTATATACTTTTTATGCGCAAGCTTGACATTGCTTTGTTTTACCATTGCATATTGCAATGTCGTGTCTATTCTTTGATGTCCAAGTAATTTCTGCAGCTGTTCTATTGGCATTCCTCTATCAATTGCCATAGTAGCTAAGCTTCTCCTGAATTTATGGGGATGAACTTTTTTTATTCCAAGCTCCCTTCCTAAACATCTTAGTCTTGACTCTATACCACCAATTTGTATTCGATTAAATGGAGCTCTTAATGTGACAAATAAAGCCTCATTATCATCATTGCGAGAAGCCAAGTATTCCATTAAATGTTTCTTTGTCCTTGCATCAAAATACACGACTCGTTCCTTATCACCTTTACCAAACACAATACTTTCTCGGTTTTCAAAATCAATATCTTGCCTATTAAGAAGTACCATCTCACCAACGCGCATACCCGTAGATGCTAACATCTCTACGATTGCCAAGTCCCTCTGTTCCATGCAACCATCGCGTATCTTTTCGATATCCTCATCCGAGTATGTCTCTTTGATAACAGAAGCTGTTTTGATCTTATGAATCCTTCTAATAGGGCTCTTTAATATATAA